CCGGGCTTTGTCCCCTCCCCAGGGTTTCCCCGGCGCAGGACAGGCCCCCGGCGCGCCCCCGGCCGGTCCCTACCCCGGGGTTTCTCCCTACGGTGGGGGGCCTTACGGTCAGGCCCCCCCCGGGGGACCCTACGGACAACCTGGAGGCGGCCCCCAGCCCGGGCCCTACGGAGGGGCGGCCCCCGGAGGTGAGTGGGGCTGTGGGGGTGAGGGGTCCCTCCTGCGGCCGGGACCCGGGGTTCCCCCCCGGGACAGTGATTTTGGAGGGGGGGGAGGTCGTTCCCTGTGTGGCAGCCCCGATCCGTGCCAGGAGGGGCCTGCTCGGCGCCCCTCGCCCAGCTCAGGTGAACTGCAAAGTGCCAGTTTATTAGTTTAAAACCTGGAGGAGGAGGAGGAAGGTGCCGAAAAGGAGGAGGAGGAGGAGGAAGGTGATGAAGAGGCCGCAGCCCTGAGCACCAGCAATAAACCTTTATGGCCGCACACCTGCCGCCCGGCACTGCCAGGTTGATGGGGCGGCAGCCCCATGGTTCACTCTCCCTGTCTCAAGCTACGCGAAGGATCTGATTTAATTCCCCTTCTCTGCCACCAGACGCTACGTGCCAAGCCCTGGGCCTTGCTAACCTCTTTTCCCAGGATCGTATGGCTGTAAAAAGCTGTTTAGAGCAGAAGTGCTGACTGGCCCCTGGGTGTTGGCTGTGTCTCTGTGAGCCATCCCTGGGGACAGACCAGCCAGCGGCCTCTCTGAGGGGAGGTGAGAGCCGCTGATGGCCTCTCCCCACGCAGGTAATGCCCCCCCCGGTGTGGACCCGGAGGCTTTCTCCTGGTTCCAGGCAGTCGATGCCGATCGCAGCGGGTACATCTCCGTGAAGGAGCTGAAGCAGGCGCTGGTCAACTCCAACTGGTCGACGTTCAATGATGAGACATGCCTGCTGATGATAAGTAAGTCTGGGCTCTCGTTGTCCTCCTGCTGCTTTTTATTCTGATCTGTTGGAGATAAGCCTCTATTGGGTGAAGCCAGCCCAGCCTGCGTTCCCCTGTTACCTGGGCATCACTTACCTGAGCAGCTGGCCTGTAAGCGCTCTCTGGAGCGAGAGCTGGGCAAACCGAGCAGCTCCGAGCACCGTTTTGGTGGAGGACACGAGTCAGGAGCCCAAAACGCCGCTTAGGAAAGGGAACCTGGCTCTGCACAAGGCCGAGCGAGCCCCCACTCACAGAGAGCCAGGGAGAAAAGGGAGGGAGAGGTCCAGGAGTGAGCCAGAGTCACCCCATTCCCCTGCTTCCCCCAGTGTTGCGTTTTCTGCCATTTCCTACCAGCCTCTTAGGGATTGAATGGTCCTGTTTGATGGCAGCCCTGGTGAGGGAGGACTTTCAGGGCCTGGAGCGGGGTGCCAGGGAGCTGCAGCGCAGATCCTGAGCTCTCCAGGAGTTTCTGCAGCATGTTCTTGCTCTGCCTCTCACTGCCCTGCTCCTGATCTTTGCTCCTTCCTCCCCAGACATGTTCGATAAGACCAGGTCAGGACGCATAGACGTGTACGGTTTCTCAGCCTTGCTGCGCTTCATCCAACAGTGGAAGAACCTCTTCCAGCAGTACGACAGGGACCAGTCGGGTTCCATCAGCTTCAGCGAGCTCCAGCAAGGTCGGTGAGGGGCAGAGACACCAACCTGGGCCTTACCAAGCTCGCCAGGGACCACTGTCTGGCTCTGCTTGGTGTTTATTTCCAGTCCGGCCTGGTGACTCCTCCTTGTGCTGTTCCTGCAGCAGGGATGGGTGTTTCTGAGCTTCTGGGTGCCTCCCATGCAGCCGTGGCTGCAGTCCATGCCTGTTGCTGCACTGGGGCATGCTGGGCTGGCTGAACTGGCTGTGACAGAGCTGGCACTGAGCCTTCCCATAGGGCAGGAGACGAGGAGCTTCACCAGGGCTGTGGCATGACCTTCCTTCCTTAAGGAAACCTAAAATGCCCCCCCACCCCGCAAATGGCATGTGGCTAAAGCCTGTTTTGTGGGAGGAACTCTTGGGTGTGTATGTCTGATGGAGGGGAAAAATGTTTGGAATTTGTGCCTTGGTTTGGTTCCTCCTTCCGGACAGCCCTGCCCGCGCACACCCGCCCTTGGAAGTGAGCACTATGGGGCGGTGGGAGATGGGGTGTGTGCCAGCACACGGGATGGAGGGCACAGTTGCTCTCCCTCCTGTCGGGAAGGTTTAATCCGAGTGTTTCTTGTTCCTAGCTTTCTCCCAGATGGGCTATAACCTGAGCCCGCAGTTTAGCCAGCTGCTGCTGGCCCGCTACGCCCAGAGATCCTCCAACCCCAGCATCCAGCTTGACCGCTTCATTCAGATCTGCATGCAGCTCCAGAGCACAACCGATGCCTTCCGTGAGAAGGACACGGGGCTGGTGGGCAACGTGCGGTTGAGCTACGAGGACTTCCTCACGATGGTCGTGACTCGCATGATGTGACACCCTCGGTCGAGGGCTGTGAGCCGGCCAGGAGCTCTGCGGGGCTCTCCAGGAGCAGCAGCCCTCCTCAGCCTCGTGCTTGGTTGTGGCTGAGCCTCCTGAAGAGCAAGCTGTTTCCCTGGGCCGGCTTTCCAGCCTGCTCTGTCCGAGGAGCCCTGAGCCCTGCTGGGGCCCTCCTGGCTTCGATTCCTTGTCCCCACTCGATGGCAGCGGGTGCCTCCATGCCAAACTGGAGCCCGGTTCTGGGGCCGTGCTGTGGGGTAGGACAGCCAAACCAGTAGCCTGTGCCATGCCTCCCAGGGAGTGCTTAGATCTTCCCTCGCCAGACACAAAATCATACTTACACCCTACTTGCGCTGTCCCTCTGCTTGGCTGGATGTCTGCAGTGGAATATCTCTGTCTCAGTGTGCTTTTGGGGACTTTCCAGTGACCAAGAGCTGAGCCTTCATTTGAAAAGCAGCAGGAAGGACACAAGCGATGGCAGAGTTTGTCCTTCCTTGCCTCGCAGACTGCACTTCCTTGCCAGGAGCACATCCAACCCCTCGGCTGTGCTGGAAACACTCTGGCTTTCCTGCGGGTCTGAGCCCCGTTTCTCTCCGGGCTGCTGGAACGGGCCACGTTGCTGCAGTCACACGCAGGATCATCGACTCCCCCCGCCTCGTTGCCAATGTCTGTTTTGATTCGTCTCTGTCTGCCGAAGCCAAACTCGGAAACGGTTTAGAGCTTATTTTTACAGCTTTTGAATAAAAGGCGATGTGCACTGGTCACTGGGTGGTTTGTGTTTACAAAGCAGCTCACAGGGATGCTGCCCTGCCTCGTGTCACCCCCCGTGGGGCCAGCAGCAGCTCTGGGTGCAGGGAGGGGACACGTCCTTCTGTGCCTGTACCCCTGCTCTGGGCACTGCTCCCAGGGCTTGGTACACTTTCCTGAAGTTAGTTCTTGCACGTTTCCTGTCGACTTGGAGAAAATAAGGTGCTGGGGTCTCCTGCTGAGGTACAAGTAAAGATTTGACCAACAGAAAGGTTTTCTTTCCTGTGGTTTTAAAATGATGAGCAGGTGGTTATCCTTTAATTGGCCTTGATGAGAAATCTCAGAGATGCTTTTTGAAAAACAGGTTGCTACTGTATATTTGAAGGGATTTTTATGAAACAAAATAGTTAAAAGACCGAGTACCTTATCTGATGCTTTTAGAAGCAATAACCAGATGTCGGTGTTTTCCTCAGCTTCAGCCAAAGGCAGGACTTTTTGTTCTAGAGCATCACTCATCATTCCAACAATATTTCTCGTTGTCTTTGGCTGAGTCAGAGCTGGCCAGCCTTGTAGATCAGAGAGGTTTAAAGCAGAGGCGGTGGGGGCTGCCTCTCCCCACCCCACGCTGTCACCTGTGCTGTGGCTGTCGCTGCCTGTGCGGGCTGTCACCCCTCCTGGCCAGGGCTGTTGTGCAGCAGCAGGGATGACTGGGGGGGGCTGTGACCCCAGCTGGGGGTGAGTGTGTGCATAGGTATGTAGCGATATATATATATATCTCTTTATATAATACCCTGGGAGGTCTGTCTGTGTGTGTATACATAGATACCCCTGTATATACACGCACACAGAGCCCTGTGCATACAGGTCGCGGTTTAAGCCCAGCCAGCAACTGAGCACCACGCAGCCGCTTGCTCACTGCCCTCAGTGGGATGGGGGAGAGAATTGGGAGGAAAAAGGAAAAGTCGTGGGTTGAGATAAGAATAGTTTAATAGGACAGAAAGGAAGAAACTCATAACAATAGTAACAATAATAAAATGACAATACTAATAAAAGAATTGGAATATACAAAACAAATGATGCACAATGCAATTGCTCGCCACTCGCTGGCTGATGCCCAGTTAGTTCCTGAGCAGCGATTCCCCCAGGCCAAGTCCCCCCAGTTTATATACTGGGGCATGACATCCCATGGTATGGAATACCCCTTTGGCCAGTTTGGGTCAGCTGCCCTGGCTGTGTCCCTTCCCAACTCCTTGTGCCCCTCCAGCCCTCTCGCCTGGGCATGAGAAGCTGAAAAACCCTTGACTTGGTATAAACCCTACTTAGCAACAACTGAAAACATCAGTGTGTTATCAGCATTCTTCTCACCCTGAACTCAAAACAGCACTATACCGGCTACTTGGAATAAAATTAACTCTATCCCAGCCAAAACCAGGACAATATATAAATACACACTAACAGATAACCCTGTGTATATACAAATACACACAAACACCACACTGCGTGCACACACACTTACTGACACTCCTCTGAGTGTGTGTATATATGGTGGAAGGTGTACATATGTATATACACACATATATATATATATATATATATACACACGGGGGGGGGGTGTATATGCACACATGCAGAGTAACAGACACCCCCGTGTATATATACACACACCATACACACACTAACAGGCACCCTTGGGTATATGCATATATACACACACATACTTATTGACACCTGTGGATATACACAGAGAACACTGGTTTTGAAATATGTGTATATATATATATATATATATATATATATATATGTATCTCCCACACATGCTGACACTGCTGTTTATTTATCAACCCCCGTTTATATATACACACAAGCAGACCCTGCTGTTTATTTACACACACACTAACAGACACTGCTCTTTGTAATATACACACACTAAAGGCTGCCGCTCTCTGTGTGTATATATAACAGTATATATAGACCCCCCCCCCCCCCCCGGCCCGCCGTTTTTT